TGAATGAGAGGGATGATGCTAGTGGGAATACCTCCGATAATTCTGCTATTTCATCTATTGATGCGTTAGGTTGACGATAAACACAGCCGAGCAGTAAGGTAACGGAATTCGACGGCTTTAATACAATCCACACCGAATCCTTCAGTTTGTTTGGTTCAGGCATATCACATAGTAGTGAGTTTAGGCTAGAGTGAGCGTGAATAAGGCATCCTCCGCCTCGTCCATTCAATCTATCGCTTCTATATAGGAAATAGTTATCAAAAGATATACTGCGGTCGGAAATATTAGCCTATATGTAGAACAATAAAGCAAAGTTACTTAACGGATAGTATCAAACCAAGTTCACCGTTCTATTTTATTTTCGAAATGTCGGATAGTATTATTGATTACCTATGACAGTTTCTTATGAACGATAAATCGTCTTCGTTGTTGTGAATGACATATTGCCTAGAAATAATGACGGAGACATTAAAAGGGGGACTGCAAATGTCTTCATGTAAGTGGCATTATCCTGTGCAAATCCACCACACTACTCTCTACTCCTTGGTAGTTTCAAATGTTTAGAAGACATTATTGTTTGCTATGCCTACACTCGTCTTAGAATTTCAGGGTTTTATCCTTTGAAATGGTTTAAGTAAAAAAAAATTGTGGAAAGACTAAGTAGAGTTCAAGTAGCAGATGAACATGTATCGAAATTGGATGAGATGAGACTAACACGATAGTCAAACTCTTACCAATGTCACAGTTGATTGATCAATGGATGGTGATAAATGACATGTGTGTTTAGTCCCTATTAGTGCAGATCGAATGCTATCGATCATGTTGCAATGTGGTCACCAGTCTAGGTGACTCGACACTGCGGGCACTATATATTGAGATTGAGTTGGTGGTTGGAGGTAGTCAACAGGAAACCCTGGACTCGGGTTTCGTGCTACTTGGCACTCGTCAGCAAGGTGTACCTGTAATCTCGAGGGAACTGGTGCTCCCTGGCGGATTCGATCTTGTGTCATCCAGCTTCACAACCAGAGACGTTACCACTGAGCTATCCGAGCCGCGGTCGACCTCCTGTAGGACTGAGATGTAATCACGATTGATTGATCATTGAGTGGTGATCAATGTCATGTGTGTCAAGAACTTCTTAGTGCAGATCGAATCCTGTCCTAATGACAATGGTCTTTGAGAACGCTTAAAAGCAATCACCAGTAATTATGAAATCGGTTAACAAACAAGTCGATTTTGCGTATGAGCAGTCAGCAAAACTTATCAAAGTATTGCTGAACCATCCACAATATCAATAGCGAACCTCCAGTCTCATATATGGCGTTCAGCTACACATAGCAATATAACTTATACTAATGTATACATTCGCTTTCTTTATTTGTCTAAGCGATAATAATTGAGCTAGTCAACTAGTCAAATGTAAACAGGAGACTCAATTCGAAAGATGGGTCTGTATAAACGATATGTAGATGACATAATAATCATAGGTGGTAAAATTGAAGACACAATCCGCTTGTTAGAAGAATTCAATAGTAGTCAAAAGCCCATTTCTCTTACATGTGAAGAAGAGAAGAACAACCAACTTCCTTTTCTTGACATCCTGATTACTAGGAGAGATGATGGTTCCATCAAACGTGCTACATATAGAAAACCAACATGGACAGGACAATATCTTAATTTTCATAGTCATTGCTCTATTCATTATAAATGCGGTTTAATAAAGAGCTTATTCAATAGAATCAATCATATTTGTACTAGTGATACTATTGAAGTAGAGATGAAGCTCTTGACTGATGCGTTAATCAATAATGGTTACCCGTTGAAGTTCATAAACCGCTGGAAGGGTTGCAATATGACTAGACCTATGACGCTTCTGGCACCCAAAAAGCGAGTTTATATTACGCTACCATCCAGAGGTGACACAAATAGTCTCATGTTGAAACAGAGACTTAAATTGGCTATCAACCGGACATTTTATGCAGCCCAACTTGTCATTATCGAAAAGACAAGGTCTACGTTTCACCAAAAGCCCAAACAGCACGAAAACGATTGTGCCACATACCATTATGTCTATAAATTTACATGTATGTGTGGAAACACGTACGTAGGTAGGAGCAATCGTGATTTGCAACTTAGGGTGTGTGAACATATACCAAAATGGTTGCAGAATCAGATGAGCTCCAATGGTGAAATAAGATCACAGGATAGACAGACATCATCATCTATTGCGAAACATTTGATTGAGACGGGTCATAAGGTTGATATCAAATCAGCATTTGTTGTACTGTACAAAAGCCTTCAAGGACGTATACTAAGGTTTACTGAAGCCTTGGCTATACGAAAATTGAAACCCCTTTATGTGTTCAAAAACAATTTGTGCTTACACTTAACCTACCTTGGTAGTACTGATTTACTATCCAGAGTGGTAATCACATTTGTTTTTGTGTACTTTAATATTTTTCCTTTGTTATGACTTACCCTTAACCTGTCTAGTTGACCTTTTAATTTTCATATATAAATGTTCTTAACAAGTAGATGATGTGTGATCAGATTGTTCGAAATGTATTGCGCAATTATATCACATAATTCTGATAAACGACGTCTTCTCATTGCATTATCGAAATTTATCAAAGGGACTAATTGTTTTAAATATTTGAACTCACTATTATCACCAAATTCATTTAACTCTTATTTATTCATTCAATATTCTGATTGTTACTATGGTATATGAATCGATTCTATTCTGTTATAGCTACAATCATTATCATTATCCTATAATGATTACGTAACTCCTAGTTGATAATAAATATGCCTGTACAAAGAACATCAAACACACACAAATACATAATAAACATATTTGAATGATTTAATTTAATCTGCTTCTCAACATGATCTATTGCAATATACACGGTATGGTGTTTTCCATGAATAACTGCATTCAATGGAATATGGTTTATGATAATCGTAGGAAGCACTTGACTGATTTAATTTTGGTACCTATCAGGTTGTATCCACAAGCAGTAATCCATTTTAATTGGTTAGATATTAAATGATTCCATGTTAGCAGTATAGTGTTGTGGAGAATAATACGTTTTTGATTAGGATCATGAAATGATCGATGTTAGACCACAATTGAATGCATGTAAGCACTGAATGACCGTTTCGCTTTAGTATGGGACTGCTCAGCAGTGCATATTTACCATCCCACTCACATTAATCTCCACAAAACTGCGCGACCATCTTCCATTTTTATTGAGATCAGATCCGCCAGATCAGCTCCAACGGTCATGACTTCTCACGTTATGTTATTCATATATTTGCTAATCAACAACTGATGCTAACTTCAAGGTAGGGTTAAAAGCACCAATTTCTATATATTCATCTATGAAAGCCACAATACGCGAAAAATCATTATGTTACATTGTTATCTCAGAAGTTTATTCAACACAAATAAAGTCAGAAAAGGTTTTGTGGAGATTGTAACAACTTCAATAATTGAGATCATTAGTCAATTATAGCTAGCCCACTATGGAAAATCTGAAATTACTGAACAGCCGTTTCGTCCTACTGTGAGACTCTTCAGGAATGCTCATCCATGACAACTAAAGTTGTGAGATTGAATTTTCTCTCCCGAAGTTTGTTTCATATTTTCTAAGAATTAAGTGATAACACTGTTCAAAACGATCATGAAAATTCCACGAATAAACTATTCAACTCATACAAATAGAATACCCATTAAAGTAGTCAAAAGAAGTATGATTCTTTTTTTGAATAGTTGCGTTCATGAATCAATGATAGTTAAACTATCATGAAAAACCTAGACGCATTGTGTTGGGGTGATCCAGCAAATTTCTTGCAAAAGGCAAGCAAGCATTAGGAAACACTGAGATCCGTTCCATCCAATCACCGCTCACTTGAAGTTTTAGCTAGAAATATCGAGGAAATGAAACGTCACATGTAGAGGCTCTGATTGGCTAATTGCTATACTGCTATTATGTTAAGTAGCATTTAGGGATCTTCGAGCAACTCAAATACATTTAAAATATTATAAAAACCCTATATTTTCTGTATTAAAATGAACCTTTGGAGTAAGGTACTTCTCGCATACTTTGCGTCTTCTCTCGTGTTCAGGTCGCTGTATAGTTTTAGCTTTAGGGGTTACAGAATAGCTTAGGAGACGGATATGGCGTTCGATTTGCAGGACTTATAAAATTGGCCAAATATCTCGTCTCAGTACGGGAATTCCTTAATCTTGCGCCTTCACTATTTCACCCGATGAAGTTCGAACCCATAACCTTCGATCTCTCACGTGAACACTTAATCACTAGACCCTCAAATTGGTCATTATCTATCAATGTTAATACCTAACTTCAATCCTTCTTTTAATTTGTTATGAAGAAATTTCTAACGTGATTTCGTTCTTCTTTTTTTTCTTTACCGGAGAAATCAAACGATGCATAATTTCTACTCATTAAATAAATCTTATTCTAACGAAAAAAAGAATGGAAAATTAAAAAAAAATAAAGAAAATGAGTGAGAAGAAAACTTTCTGATGGAATTATTGATTGTTTTTGTTTTTGTTGGTGTTGTCGTCGTCGTCGAATAAATTCCCCACATAGTATACTCTTAACATTAATATAGATGCTTATTCATGTTTATTCTCGTCTGTTTTCTTTCTTTCTCTTTTGTTTTGTTTTAACTATCATCATCCTCATCATCACCGACACCTACTCCACAACCATCACCACCTACTCCACCACCACTCTCCACCTTCAGTTTGTTTTTGTTTGATTGATTTTCTTTCGTCAATAAAGGTTAATTCCCTTGTGGAGAAATTTTTCAACAGTGTTGAATTTTACGTAGATATCTATATATTTGATGATGAGAAGTTTATCAGATATAAAGTTATCTTCCAAAATTTTGAATATTAGTAAGTCAATACTACTACTATGAATACTACTAATACGAAGACTACGAGGGATACGATTACTACTACTACTATGACGACGACGATATTTACTACTACTACTACTACTACTACTACTACTACTACTACTACTACTACTACTACTACTACTACTATTACTACTACTACTACTACTACTACTACTACTACTACTACTACTACTACTACTACTACTACTACTACTACTACTACTACTACTACTATTACTACTACTACTACTACTACTACTACTACTACTACTACTACTACTACTACTATTACTACTACTACTACTACTACTACTACTACTACTACTGTAGTGAATGAGAACACACGAGAGGGGACAATCGAATGTATTTCAATACAGAATTACGGAATCTCTTTTTGGTAATATCTGAGAACTATACATTAAAATATAATGCTTCGTTTACAAAATACCAATCAATTGTCTCCAACTTCATTGTTTTTTCGTTTCTACATCAGTCATTCTTTGTTGTTGTTCTGTTTGTTCGATCTTCCTAACTTTCTATTGCCAGATATTGTTACTTTCGGTTGATCACACATACAACTTATATCTGTCAACATTAATAGTACACAATACAGTACTGCTCCAACTGTTTTTCTATTCATATTAATAATTTCAAACCTTTGTGGTGATAATATATCTTGTAATGATGTACATTTATACCAGGATTAATATTGTTTTGATGAACTCATTGGCTGACTGGTACAATAAACAAGATGAAGATTATTTCCATGACAAATCAAGGGATGATTCGGAAACCAGCAACACAGTTAACTGCTGTTTTATCACATAATAGTATTATGTTTCAATAAACTTATATTCAATCTAATTTATGGATCAGTTAATGTGGAGATAATGACAACTTGAGAAGTAATGTCAGTCAGTCAGTCACTCATTCACTCAGTTAGCTACAATGTAGGACCAGACATATATATACATGGGTCCAAGTTGCCATATCTCGTTAACACAACAAGATGAACATCAAATTCATAGAAGTGGTTAATTCAGTGGAAGTAATTGTTGGGATATTCAGGAAAATATCCCAAAAATTATCCTATTAAGCCTAATGCTATCCTTGGACATGAAATGGTATCATCTTATTGGTCAATACTTATTTGACGTGTTATTTTCCTGTTGGCCATTATTGTACAATGTTATCTTCTATTTTATGGTACGCTGTGGACTGCTTGACTGGTATATAAACAAAGTATGTTTGAAATATAATCATTCATATATCCGAGGCTGTGACTAGTGTTCTGGACTCAACTGGCTGGGCTAGACAGGGGAGCGAGACCAATCAGAACCCTAGGTCGTTCCATGTGTTTGTGCGTCTTTGGTCTAATCAATAATAAACAAGATGAAGATAGTTTCCATGACAAATCAAGGTATGATTCGGAAACCAGCAACACAGTTAACTGCTGTTTCATCAAATATTACTGTTATGTTTCATTAAATTTATATTCAATCTAATTTATGGATAAGTTTTTGTGGAGATAATGACAACTTAAGAGGTAATGTCAGTCAGTCAGTCATTCACTCAGTTAGCTACAATGTAGGACCAGACACATATATACATGGGTCCAAGTTGCCATAACTAGTTAGCACAGCAAGATGAACACTGGATTCATAGAAATAGTTAATTCAGTGGTAGTAATATATAAACGAAAGATTGCGTATAAGGTAATGTCAGAATCTAGGGATTTATATGTCGGAATTCAGTTAAGTTCATAGAAGACACTATATGTGTAATGATTAAGAACACATATCGGTCAAAAAAACTTTATTGACATAGGATTATAGAATCTCTTGATGAAATCTGAGAACCATACAGTGAATATTTCATGTACAAAGTGTAAATCAATTGTCTCATACTTCATTGTTCCTTCGTTTCCATACTAATCACTTTCTATTCTCGTACTCTTCTCTTTGAATTTTTTTAACCTTCTACCTTCAGACATTCCACTTTCGATTGATGATACATACAACTTATATCTATCGATATCAGTATCACACACCATAACATTATCAGAGTAGAGCAGTTCCGTAGAATATGAAGGGGTAGTAAAATCAGTTTGTTAGACGTATCAATATATTGTCCATTTGAAAACTGTACACATAAATCAATAATTCGTCAAAGATCTTTATAGTTAGACCATCATTGAAAATCTGAGATTCATCAATAATGCGCATCGATGACCCTGCACGTGGGATTAGATACCAGGATCATTGATTTCGTGTGCGAACACTTAACTTATGAATAACTGAGCTGGTCAGAATCCGACGGTGTTAATATATAACTTCAATCAATCCATGAAACTGCGCTACCCTCCACCATCTATAGAAAATTAATACCACTCAGTGTGAAAACATTGTCAATGACAAAAATAATAATCACGTAACACAGTTGAAGTAGAAGTGAAATTATTGATCTGATTAGAGAAATCCATTTAGTAACAGTCGAATTCTCAAAATGTGGTTTTCCATGGTGATCTAGCTATAATTGATCCATAAAATCAACTATTAAAAATTTCTGCAGTACCGTAGAAACCCCATTTGAACAATAATCATCATTTGTTCCCTTGTGACTGACTTCGTGAGGTATTTCCTGTAGTTTTAGGGAGAATCCGTTGTCAGTGTAGTTCAACCGTGTATGCCGTTGAGGCAGTAACTCAGTGAAAACAATGGTGGATTGTTTATTCTAATTGATTTGTAACTGTATCGTAGCACTAAATGTTTGTTCTGCATCTAAATTATTTGGAAAATAGTTAAGCATGTATATGACCCACTCAAATCCATATTGTTTGTTCGGGTTTTAAAATATGAAGGATTTGTATATCGTCCATCTTGTAATTCAATTTTTCCGCGATCTTCAGTTATCCACATGGATCGATTTCAGAGAAACTATGTCGTAGATTTTCATCTCTTTATATTGTTGCCTGAACGGTTTGTTTACTTTGTATAATGCAATTCTCCTATTAGTCACAACTATTTATTTGGTATATGATGGTTGGTTTGCCTCCAGTCGTTCTTGTGTTCTATAGATTATACAGTATAGATTGTAAAGATTTCATTGGTTCTCTGCGCAAACACTTAGTTGTGGAGGACACCAATAATTCATTTTTGTGATTTCGAAGGTGTTGTTCACGTGGAATAGGATAATGAATCCATTTAGTGTATTTTATGTTCATGCAGTGTTTACTGATCAGTTTGATAAGCATTTCCTGATGAAATGTTAGAGTGTTCCTGGTTTTCAATGTCCTGGGTATTTTCCTTGCATTTTTGAATAAAATGACAATGTCACAACACGACATCATAATTTCAAGTAGCATGGAACGAATGTATTATTGTCAAGTAACAAAACCATGAATCAATATCCCGATATTAGTGAACTAAATCTAGTCATTTATATGTACAAGAATCGGTAGTTACCATGATTCAAATCTTTAATAAACCACAATTCAGTAGATTCACACCTTCTCCTTCCTCTCGATTTGAGAAGTCAGTAACAAGTCTTAACTAACAATGTCTTACGAAAGCAGACGTAATTTGCAAACAGACATACTAGGCCATATCAAATTATAAAATGGAAAATATACATGAATACGTTTGAAGGTGGTTATGATTGGAGTAGGCCGTAAATAACAGGCTGAAGAGTGATTACGGAATGACGAATCGGATAACAATATTGAGTGGGTTATTCGAAAGATCATGTTGAATGAATTCATTCTGTATATGTATCTATATAATCTGAACACTTGATTAGTATACAATAGAGTTATGGTCGATAGACATTCGAAGAAATGAGCTTCCGTTCTGTTAACGCTTTTCATTCGATTATCACAAATAATCAAATCGGACATAGAAATGCACGATTTATTTTCTTGACTAAAGAGAGATGATGCTTACCCACGATTCATTTATGTGTATTCGATCGCAAACGTCTGGGTATCAAGATATTTTAAGTTGAATTACGCTTTCACTAAAGATAAAACATTATTCAGCTTAGATCTAATCTCAGAATCTATATACGCTATATATGTTCACAGATTTCAGTTACTTGCAATGATATCTACTTAAAGCATCCATGTATTTTATCATTGTCAACTGATACATCTTTCTCTATATCTTTAAACAGTGTGATAGATGAAAGGTTGCATTACATCACAGGGTTGTGCAATGATAGAAATGTTAGTGATGATTCCCAAATTCTTTGGAATTTCATCAGAATGACGCTGATCATTGTCATATGTTGAAAGTATTGATTGAACACGAACCTTATTTGACGTCGTGTACACGAAATTCAAAAACTGTGTTTCATACACGTAATTCCCTGTGCAGGTCATCCATGTCATGTGTGATGCTATTGCTCATCGGAAACAAAAGAGCATGGTCGTAAAATATTGTTGGGGAATCCCATATTTGGACGGAACTGACGTTCACTGCTTCCAGTGTAACTGCCTACTCTTTAACATCTTACATGGGAGTCACATTATTATCTACACAAACACGTCGTATCGTAACATTACAATTCATGATGAAGGACACACTTAAATTAGAGATAAATGGGCATGACATTCAACTGGTTTCGAAGTGTTTCATTTTCACTGTGCTTTTCACCCCCAGAAACCCTTCTCGTCGTATATGAGTGGTAACTATTTCGACCCCACGTCCCAATCCTTACTACTTAAAATAATAATGTTAATAAAACAACAACAGGATTTTTCAGCTACCTATAATATTGTAATAAGTAGTCTAAAAACATCTTTATAGAATAGTAAGCTATTTCGTTAAGAAAATACAAATAAAGAAAATCCATTAATGGAATGACTTCAGAAAGACAGTAGAGAACCGAAACAGATCATTGTTTTCTTAATAACGGTCTAGCCAAAAATCTACGAACGGTATTTGATTTTGCTCCCAAATGCCCTTGTACGGTTGAGGGTGGGGAGAGTCCTCTCTCTCACTCGAAGAACCCTCACATGACCATGTGCATACAACCACCGACAATGAAGTCTTACTCATTACCGTCTCGTAGCATTACTGTTATTTACGAAATTGTGAAGGCGAAAAGAAAACTCGAGAATGGGAAACGTTATCTCTCGCTCTACAAATGCTCTCACATAGTCATGCGTAGACAGACACTACCAGAGGAATCCTATTGTCTGTTTTCTCGTAGCATTACAGTTGTTTACGAAATTGACAACAGTTGTATGTATCACTAATCGAAAGTGGAATGTCTGGTGACGGAAAATTGAAAATAAGATAATGAGAATGGAATATACTACTAATCCCTCATTCAGACTATTAACCTCATTCATTGTTACTACCATAAAAGCACAATTATTACATAGTGAACATCAATCAAT